ATTAGCTTGCCGCCATAGTAGACAGACATTCTCGGATATGCGATTTAGATACTGAATGTTTAACATGCATATGATTCTGCATTAAACGCAGGTTGCAGTGATCATTATCGCAGTGACAAAAAGATTTGCATTGTAAAATCATAACACGTACAATTTGTCAGACTTGTAAAATATTCATCACTCACAATGTATCATGTGGCATCAGAAAATTATTAAGAATTCCACTGATATTATCAGCACCCTCATTTTTGTTTGTTATATGGAATTCATGTATATGACGAGAAGATTGCACGTAAATATGTTTAAACATAAAAATTGCAAATCGGTCATTCGCGAGTGAAATGCATTTGATCAAATGATAAGTAATTGCTTGACAATGGCGTCATTCTTCCTTGTTTTATTGTTTCAGAAGTCAAACTTATATCCGTGTTCAGTTTAGTATCATCCTCACCTTGATTAGGGAGGTGACTAGCGACTGGGAAAGGAGTCGTGCGATAGTAGAGGTTGAACAAACACCTTTTAAAAAATCATTTCACCCCCAAACAAAGCAACTAAGACTCAAGAGGTTACTGAGTGTGAGAGAATACGAGAAAAGGAAACATTATTAAGAAGAGAGAACAATAAAAGTACAGAAATTAAGAAGACAGAATCTAACAATTGACATTAGAAGTTGAGTGGGAAACAAGAAGCTGGAAGAGTGTTCCACAAGCAAGAACTGTTAGGCTATATATATTTCAACTGTAAAATGGTGAGACCTTGCTGCCAGTCTAGTACTGCGCTTAAATTCATAAAGTCTTGGTACCATAGAGGAAAGTTTATTATAACAATCACCATGAAAGTGTTTATAGAAAAGGAAGCTAAGTTACGGCAGTGGGAAAGTGACTGAAGCCGAGATGCCAGTTCAGGACCAATAACATTGCAGATTCTTCTTTATATTCTATCAAGAATCTCTAAATACATAGCAGAAGCACCAGACCAAATGTATCAGTAATATTCAAAGCATTAGACGAATAGTAGAATCAACTTTCCAAGGAGCAGATTCAATTGAATCAATATAATTTTTCCATTTCACATAATCGGAAAACGTAGACCGAGAATGAACAATGAGTCACGCTTTTGGAGGTTAGCATCAGCCATGCTGATGGAAGGCAAAAAAAGATTCTCTTAAAACGATTAAAAGAGAACAGTTTCGTTTAGGTGGCGATCAAATTAACAAGGCATTTCCTTGTCCCAGTTAACAATTGTAGATAATTCTTTTAGACCAGCTGCCAATTTCCAAATTTAGCAGCTGCGATGAGAATTTGAATCGCTAACAGCTACGTCAGTTCTCACATCTACGCCCAGAATACTGGCATTAAGTCACACATACACTCTTTTGGTTATTATAGTCAATGGAAACTTTAATACTTTAAATCATTAATATCCTTTCCTTTCTATAAGTAATAATAATAACAATGGTAATAGTGATGATAAACGAAATTATAGATAAAATTTGCAAATTATTCTAGTGTTACAGTGAAAACTAGTTTATTATAGAGTACAAATCTTATGATAAAAAAATGTTCCAAGAGATAAATCGTTATTCGTCGTTGCAATGTGAAATAATTTGGTAATAAACAAATCTAAGTACGTTTTTTCGTTTTTATCTTTTATTCCCCCTTTCTCTTTGTTTCTCGTCTTTCTATTCTTCCCATTATTCACCTTTTCCATTTACATTCCTTATCATTTATCCAAATGTTTTTAAACTTTTCTTTCTTGGTATCTTCAATTTTTCTTTGTTTCCTTTAATCAATTTCTTCTTCTCGCGCCCTTTCTTTTCTTCCTTTCATTATATCATCTGAAGTGTGTAGTTTGCAATGCCAAACATCACATAAAAAAGTGCTGAAATTATGGATCAAATAGTAGAGTCCATTCAGAATGGCAACGTCAGTACCATATAAGAAAACTGATATTTCCAATAACTCAAGAATAGTCCTACTTATTTCTTTGGCAAATAGATGTATACAGAGGATGGAGAAATGATATTTTTTTAAAACACTAATTGGCGATGTTTGCATTTGCATTTAAAAACAGAGTTTAATTTTGGGGTTTACGGTGCAGCTTAAAGGAAAGGTGTCATTTTTAAAAAAACATGCAGTTGCATGATATGTAGAGTTAAGCACTTTTTATTTCTATTTCATCTGTCATGTGGAAAAGTTAGGCATTAATTTGAAGGCTTTTATACAAATCCGTACATAAGGCGATTATCTATTTCTACCAGAATTAAGTTATTTTGCGCAATAGATTAACGATTACAATACTGGAAGAAAGACAACTCTGAATTCGCAAGAAGCCACGGAATTTCCCAGATAATAAAGAAATGGAATCTGTGGAGAGCTATGATCTCTTATGTCTTGAAGAGAGAAAGACATCTCTAAATTCAAAACCGTAGAGACAACTGGGAACTCTCTTTCCCAAGAAGTTATGGCAATTCACAGATAATAAAGAAAAGAAATTTGTGGAGAGTCATGATAGGCTAATGCTCTGAAGAGAGAAAAACAGCTTTGAATTCAAAACCATATAAACAACAAGACCATATAAACCACTCTACTATCTTTCCCAAGAAGTCATGGTAATCTGTCGAGAGACATGATCGTCCACCTCATGGCATTAAACAAAAAAAGAGTAAAAAAAAAAGAAAAGAAAAAAAAAACAGGATCGCCACATCTATCACAAAAGGAAACTCTTTTATGTTTTACTATTTGAGCGGCAAAGAATGGCTTAATATGACATGTCTTTGTGGATGTTGCGAAGCACATAATCAATAGAGTTTTAAAACAACACGCGGTTCACTTGGGTTGAATCCATTCACTATAGATTCATTAAGAAGTACGTGTTTCTAATTCCTCAAACGTCTGGATTTTTATTCAGCTGCTACCATAAAATATAAAAATCCAAAAGTAGTTTGAGTATTTTTTTTTTTTTTACTGTTGCCTTCTCCAGGGTTTGTTATTCAGCTTTTCTTCTCTTAGATTGGTTGTCATCCGTTCTCTCCTGCTATTTAACCCATGGATGGACGAACAAAAGATAGATTCATGCCTTCCCAATGTCATTTATACGAAAATGTAAACAACAGATTTGAATTTCGTTTTTCGCACCGATATCCTTTAGATCTTCTACACTTCAACTTTTTGTTTTCTTGCTCTTCGATAATAAGAGTTGATCAACTAGAAATGCTTGCTTCTAGTCATAAAAATCCCCGCAGACTGGAAATAATTACCCGGAAAAATATTTTTAACATTTTTTTTTTGTTTTGTTTATACATGCATCAATATGGTCGCAGTTATATTTCAATCTAGCTCGGATCCTTGCAGTATCCCGAATGTGTGGGTGTTCATAGAAACAACTGAATTGTAGATTCATTTTCTCTGGCCAACTGCTCTGCTTAGTCGA